GGTTAATTAAATAACCCTTTTTTCGTTTTTTTTAAAAATAAACCCGATGCCAGTTTGTAACACTTGACTTCGTCATTATTTGACATCTGTTTCGTAATTTCCCAGAATCTGGCAAAATCGTACAAATTCAATGATTCTAATTCCTGAGGTCTATTTGGATAGTAATCATCGATGAGTGACGAACAGTAAATATTTGTAGAATTTTCATCAAGAGCTTAAATTTCATTAAATGTTTTAACTTTTCTATTTCTCACCTCATTAACATCGATCCATTTGACCATGGTATCATTATCCGTACCGTACAAGGGATTCCCTAATAGTGTATCCGCAGCTTCTAAAGCACCGCATTCTCTGTTATTTAATGAACGCATTGCAAAATTCCACAGTTTCGATGCCAAGGACTTATTCGAATCTATCACTTCAAAGTCTGTATTGCATTTTTCCGACTTTGTCGTGTATTTTGTTAAATATGAGTTTAAAAACTCTGATTTTTCTCTAATAAATTGTATGTCCATATTTCCCTTCCAGGCTAATTTGATAGACGGATTATAATCATTTATAAACCTTTCCGACTCCTTGCGAGGAAGATCGTACAATCTGCTCTTACTGCGTAAATTTTTTCTACCGACTATCGAAGTGATAACGTCTCTTAAAACGAAATTCTCAGTAACTGGCCGAGGAAAATCGAACCGACACTTTCTGTATATATTAGTTTCCGTTTTTTTCGTACGCATGCAATACGAGTTATGTTTATGATTCTGATCACTTATTACCGTATCGTACAACGTTGGCGAAACATTTTCATCTGGAATTTCACACGTTACGTACTTTTGAATAAACGTAGCAACTTCTTCATCCGGCGATTTTCCTAATACTGGAGCATCTTTTATCAAAATTTACAATGCATGTGCTGGATACTTCTACGTTGATATTCCAGTCGCCAGAAGTAATGAATAACCTTTCCTATAGGATTATCGGACGAACAAATAAAATCAATCATGGCTTTGAATTTTATGCACATGAATCTAGAAGTACTTACAGGATCGTATGCGATTAGTTCGTTGATGCCTAACTTCTCTTTATCGGGATTCATATCTCGTAAATATTCACCCAAATCGGACCATTTCCATTCACTAGGACTCAAAGTCAAAAACCACGTCGCTGGACCGTAATGCAAAGTCATGCATTTTACATTATTGGACGGTTGTCGCCAAAATTGATCCGTATTTCTCAATTTTGCGAAAATACTCATTAAATTCGATTCTAATTCGTAACCTTTCAATTCGTTCAAGTATCTACCAGCAGTGTATCTCTCTCGTGGGTTAGTAACCATCATCGTATAATAGATACCACTTTTCAACTGTCGGTAGTTAGCATCATTGAGAAGGAAGAACAGATACTGCAGATTCAACCTGAATCTACTATGTTTCGACATCAATCGTGTTCTAATAAATAAATATTCCGGCAATGCAAAGTTTCTATCTTCTCGTTGTCCATTGACACCATCAGGATATAAATCAGGGAAACACATGACATCCAGATATTTATAACGATTATCCATTGGAAAATCTTCAATTTTCACCATTTGATAAAGCTTCAATGCAGATTCGTTATCGATTCTTTTCGCGTGTATTGGGTATATTGTATACTGATCGTTAATATCCGAATGTTCAGTGATTTGTGTGAGAAAAGCCGTACGTTTTAAAACGGTTTGATCATCATTATTTTGTTTTGCTGTACATTGTACAAATTCAATGCTGGTAATTCCTCAACCACCTCATTTATTTCGTCATTGTCGCTTTCCTCATCGACAATCCTATATTCTGTTTCCTGCAACTTATCCTTTAATAGATCATCAGATGACGCTGGAAGACGAATTTTTGAGTAATGAGGATTATTTTCTTTCAACCATTGTAAAGCCTTATACATTTTATTAATATCTACTAAATTTTCCCAAACCACTTTAGATTTCTTGGGTATACCTCGAACGAGAATGTGCAACTCGTGATTCAAATTTATAGGATCTTCCGGAGGACATACCTTATCCAATGTTTCTTGTAAAGGCAGAGGCAAATGAAATGTTCTACCTTTTCCTAAACAGAGTTCGATTATATAAGTTTCTTGATTTAAAATGTGCTATATTTAAATCATTTAATTATTTTTTCGTTCAAGTACAATTAACAGCAAAAACTGCATATACGTAGGTATGTATTTGACTCTACTGCCATTACTTGAAACAAATACATTATTCGATATTAACAAATTGGAACTCTGGAATTACGAGTAATTATTTTTCATTGTACAGACTAGGTTTAAATTTTTGAGGACCTTCTTTTGAACATGGCTTGACCTTTTCATTTTTATGATTTTTTGAAGATAGGGTGAGAGAGGACGAATGAGGGTAAGAGAAGACGAGATAGGCGAAAGAGGGTGAAAGAGAACGAAAGAGGGTGAGAAAGGACGTACGAGGGTGAAAGAGGTGAGAGAGGGTGAGTGAGAGAGGACGAAAGAGGGTGAAAGAGGACGAAAGAGGTCGAAAGAGGGTGAGAGAGAACGAAAGAGGGTGTGAAAGAGACGAAAGAGGGTGAGAGAGGACAAAAGAGTGTGAAAGAGGTCGAAAGAGGATGAGAGAGGGCAAAAGAGGGTGAGAAAGAATGAAAGAGGGTGAGAGAGGACGAAAGAGAGTGAAAAAAGGTGAAAGAGGACGAAAGAGGGTAAAAGAGGGTGAGAAAGAAGAAAGAATGAAAGAGGGTGAGAGAGGACGAAAGAGAGTGAAAGAGACGAAAGAGGTGAAAGAGGACGAAAGAGGGTGAGAGGGAATGAAGAGGGTGAGAGTGAGAGAGGGAATGAAAGAGGGTAAAAGAGGGTGAGAGAGAATGAAAGAGGGTGAGGAAAGGACGACGAAAGAGGGTGAGAGAGAATGAAAGAGGGTAAAAGAGGCGAAAGAGGGTTTGAAAGAGAACGAAAGAGGGGTGAGAAAGAGGACGAAAGAGGTGAAAGAGGGTGAGAGAGGACGAAAGAGGGTGAAAGTAGGACGAAAGAGGTGAAAGAGGACAAAAGGGGTGAGAGGACGAAAGAGGTGAAAGAGGACGAAAGAGGTGGTGAAAGAGGACGAAAGGGGTGATGAGAGGGAATGAAGAGGGTGTGAAAGAGGGTGAGAGAGAATGAAAGAGGGGAGAGAGACGAAAGAGGGTGAAGAGGCGAAAAGATGGTGAAAAAAAAGAAGACAAAAAAGGGTGAAAGAGGGCGAAGAGGACGAAACGAAAGAGGGCGAAAGAGGGTGAAAGAGGACGAAAGAGGGTGAGTAGGACGAAAAGGGGTGAAAGAGGACGAGAGAGGGGAAAGAGGACGAAAGAGGGTGAAAGAGGACGAAAAGGAGTGAAAGAGGACGAAAGGGGGGTGAGAGGGAATGAAAGAGGGTGAAAGAGGGTAGAGGGAATGAAAGAGGGTGAGAGAGACGAAGAGGGTGGTGAAAGAGGCGAAAGATGGTGATGAAAAGAGACGAAAGAGGATGAAAGAGGGCGAAAGAGGGTGATGAAAGAGGGTGAAAGAGGACGAAGAGGGTGAGAGGGAATGAAAGAGGGTGAAAAAGGGCGAAAGAGGGGGGTGGTGGGGGTGGGAGTGGGGGGGTGGGAATGGGGTGGGGGTGGGGGTGGGATTTGGGAGGGAAAGGGGTGGGTGGAAGTTGAGGGAGGTGTGAGTGAAAGGTGAGAAGAGATTTATACGCGGACAGAGAAGAAGAAGAAGAAGAAGAAGAAGACGACGTTTCTTAATTTTTCATGAAAAACGTCACTTTTTGACCGCTTGTATCTCCGGAACGGCTTGACCGATTTTATTTTTTCTTGGCTCAAATTACTCGTGGCGATGCCGCCTTTCAGGTTATGTTACGTGCAATTCAAAATTTTTTATATTTTAGTAGTTCTACACCCCAAAAAATGGACTTTGATGGTGCAAGATAAGGAGACTTGTAGTGTCTTTTAAGGTCTTTTAGGGTTTGAACATGGCCGGAGACACTACCGCGTCTCCTGATATATATATATATATAAATATATATATATATAATTTATTTACCTAAAATATATTTACCTAATACACCTCCTTCCTTCCTTATCTTTCTTTCTTTCTCTATTTTTTACGAATCCTCTTTTCTTCTTTTTCTTTTCTATGAATCTTCTTTTTCCTTTCTCTCTTTCTTTTAATTATTCTCCGTCACTTTTTTTCTTTCTCTGTTATATATATAATTTATAAACTATAAATTAACATATATACATATATATATATATCTTTCTTTCTTTCTCTATTTTTTACGAATCCTCTTTTCTTCTTTTTCTTTTCTATGAATCTTCTTTTTCCTTTCTCTCTTTCTTTTAATTATTCTCCGTCACTTTTTTTCTTTCTCTGTTATATATATAATTTATAAACTATAAATTATCATATATACATATATATATATATGTATATATATGTATATGGGGCATTCCATACCACACAAATAGACCACTTTTTTCCCTAAACATTTTTTATTTGCTTCATTTTTTAAATATTTTTGCACTTATTAAAAGTAGTTTCCAAAATTAGTTTCCATGATTTTTTTTTAGATTTTTCTTTCTATTCATACTTGAGTTATGTATTTCAAAACAATTTTATTATTTTTTTTCCCTTAATGAGATCTTTTCGATTTTTTTTTTAATTGATAACTGTTGTGTATGTGAGGATTACCAAATAACAATATTCAGTAAATTGAAAATAGATTTACTTTAAACAGAAAGTCCGTTAAACGGGTACAGTATTTTTCGCGTGTGTGTCGCTCGACTGCTCCGATATATCTCCTACCTTCGAGCTCCCTCCTGAGGGCTCTTCCTTGTCTTCTCGGCATCGCTATCGTCACGCACGTGTCGTGAACTTATTCGCTGAGCCTACACGCGTGCGCGTATTACTTTAAGCGCGCAAATATAATAATCTCACGCATATCTAACACCCTCTCTTGTTATCGAAAGCTTCTACTTCTCTGTACGCTCGGAAAAGAAGTCTGGGCGTCTCTTAGTTCTAGCAGAGCGACGCTGAGTTTCTAATATAGTTTCCCTATTAACATCTTGGTTGGTCTGTGAGGAAACTGGCGCAACATTATCTAGCACCTCCGGAGGATTCTCCGTGTCTAGCGTTACAGGACTGTTCGAGCGTACCGGTTCCCGAGACTGTTCAGAATCCCAATAATAGTGGTCGTTTTCTAAACAGGTTGTAGGAGTATCTTTTCCGATTTTGCGCATCTGATTTACGTGTCTTTCCCAAGAGCGGCCATCGTCTAAATGGATTGTATAATGCAGTTTCCCCTTTCTTGCCGATACTACACCGAACTTCCATTTTTCTCCCCCGGAATAATTCCGACACGCAACTCTCTCTCCGCATGCAAATGTTTTTACATTTTCTATAGTATCATAATGAGTATTTAAATTACTGTTTTGCGGAATCATTAGGTCTAGTCTAGTGGATATTTTCCGATTTAGAAACATTTCCGCTGGGGTTTTGTTAGTTGACGCATGCGGCATTGTTCTATATTGTAATAATAATTTGTTTAATGCAAAATTAATATTTTTAGCTTCGCACTTCATTCGCTTTAATGCTTGTTTGAACGTTTGAACAAAACGTTCTACCTGACCGTTTGTTGCAGGATTAAAGGGTGAAGTACGTTTATGTTCAATTCCATTGATTTGTAAAAATCTTTGAAATTCCGAAGAAACAAAAGTTCTACCGTTATCGGTTACTATTACTTTTGGTAATCCGTATGCTGCAAACATTCCTCGACACTTTGCAATTGTCGTTTTTGCAGTAATGTCTTGGACTATATGTACCTCGGGCCATTTTGAAAAAGCGTCGACCATGAGCAAGAACATTTTTCCTAAAAATGGCCCCGCAAAATCAACATGTACGCGTTGCATTGGCGCTGATGGCGCTTCCCATAAATGTACTTCCACCTTTGGAGGATTGTTCTTATGACTATTACAGTTTGCACAATTTCGAACCAAATTTTCTATGTCTTTATCAATGGCTGGCCACCAACAATGGCTACGAGCCAACCCTTTCATTTTTACTACTCCAAAGTGTCCTAAATGCAATTCTTTTAATACTTCAGCTTGTAACGTTTTTGGAATGTAGACACGCGATCTACGCATAATTACATTGTTTTGTAAACTAAACTCGTTTTGCTCGATATTAAAACGCTTTGATTTGTGTATTACTTTCCCGGTCTGTAATGCTTCTAGTAATTCTCTTATTGTTTTATCCTTTCGTGTTTCTATCTCTATTCTACTCGCCGTTACAGGTAAGGTTTTGATTACTTCCAATTGATACGCATCTACCGTATCCGCTACCGTTTGTGGCGCGTCCACGGGAAGTCTGGATAAGCAATCCGCATTCGCATGCCTCTCAGATTTTCGGTACTCAATTTCGTAATTATATCCTTGTAGAAAAATAGCATAGTGTTGCATACGCATCGCTGAATATATAGGCAGACTCTGAGAAGGCGAGAAAATTTGTACAAGCGGTCTATGATCTGTTATTAACGTGAACTTGTTTCCGTATAGAAATTGAACAAACTTTTTAACACCAAAAATAATTGCAAATGCCTCCTTGTCGATTTGGGAGTATTTTGATTGTACTTTTGAAAATGTTTGTGACGCGAATTGAATAACCTTCTCAGATCCATCCGGATATCGGTGTGACAACACGGCTCCGACTCCGTACGAGCTCGCGTCGGTTGCTAAAACCAACGGTAATTTCGGGTTAAAATGAACCAGCATTTGTTTACTTGTAAACGCCGCTTTAGCCATGTCAAATGCCGTGGGCCCCACGTAATGCAGCAAATACGGGACCCTAGCCTGGTCCTTGATTCCGAAAATCATAAAGGCTCCTTGAAGGCGTTGCAGCCATCTTTTCCACGTCGTATTCGCCGAGTCAAATGCTTCGATTGCAAGAGACCCGGGTATGGTAGCCTGTGCCATGATCTGCCCCTAAGCGGTTTTAAAATCTTCGCTCCACAATTTGGATTTTTGACTTACGTCCTCGTATGGCAGCGTCGCCGTTATCCTCGTATCACGACTCGTAGCACGAGCCGTTGTAGCCCGGAGCACGTGGCGATCACGCACCGATCAGTCGAATCCGCCGCAGCGACGAATATACGTCTTGCACAAATAAATCTTTCTACGTACGCGAGATTAGAATAATCCCATCCTCGTCGCCAAGATTGTTGTGTATGTGAGGATCACCAAATAACAATATTCAGTAAATTGAAAATAGATTTACTTTAAACAGAAAGTCCGTTAAACGGGTACAGTATTTTTCGCGTGTGTGTCGCTCGACTGCTCCGATATATCTCCTACCTTCGAGCTCCCTCCTGAGGGCTCTTCCTTGTCTTCTCGGCATCGCTATCGTCACGCACGTGTCGTGAACTTATTCGCTGAGCCTACACGCGTGCGCGTATTACTTTAAGCGTGCAAATATAATAATCTCACGCATATCTAACAATAACATTTAAGACTTAAATACAAAATTTTTAAGTCATAAGTAAAAAGGGGATTTAAATAACTTTGATTTTTTAACACCATTTTTTGCAATTTTTTCCTAAAATCACATTCTTTAATTTTTTACATTACTAAAATAAAAAAGAAAGAGTTTACAAAGATAATAATTACTTATTTTAAAGTATTAATAATCGAGAAAAAATTCTAATATTATTTAAAACTATTTTTTTGCTATTTTGCTAAAAAATAATGTTTGTTAATTTCTTAGACGACTGGTATCGAAAAAAAAACTTTGCAAATAAAAGACATTAATTAAATAAAACATAAATTTAAAGTGTAAGACAGGCAATAAGAGTCAGATCGCGGATGACAGTACGTTATCCCAACGAAACTAAATTTTTTCGTTAGAATTAAATACTTGTACACAAAGCACCAAATTTTACTTGGTCACGGCCAAGATTTAAAATTGGAATAATCTCTACAAGAGATTTAATTCAATACATCCTCTGTTCCCCCCTAAGGAAATAAACGCACTATCATCCGCGATTTGGCTCTTATTTTATTAAAAATTATAACATAACATTTATTTTTTAATAATTTAAATAATTTATTAAAATAATTTATTTTTTAATTATTTTCTTTTTCTTTGTTATAATTTTTAATAAAATGTATTATATTTAATTAAAGTCTTTTATTTAAAAAGTTTTTCTTTCGATACGAGTCGTCTAATAAATTAACAAACATTATTTCGAGCAAAATAGCAAAAAAATAGTTATAAATAATATTAAAATTATTTTTCGACTACTAACATTTTAAACTAAATAATTATTATCTTTGTAAACTTTTTCTGTTTTATTGGAGTAATATAAAAAATTAAGGAATGTAATTGTCGAAAAAAAAATTTCAAAAAATGGTGTTAAAAAGTTGAAATTATTTGAATCCCCTCTTTGTTTATGGCTCAAAAATTTTGTATTTAAGTCACAAATGTTATCAATTTTTTAGAAAATAATCGAAGGGGTCTCATTGAGGGAAAAAAATAAATTAGATTAAAATTGATATGATCGTTACGGTATGAAATTGCAAAATACTACTATTCAAGAATGTCTAAATATTTTCAAATCATGGAAACAACTTTCAATAAATGCAAAAACATAAAAAAAATAAAGCAAATAAAAAAGTGATCGATTTGTGTGTGATATGCCCTATATAAATATATGTATATATGTATGTATATATATATATATATATATATATATATGTGTATATATTTATATTTATATATATATACACTTATTAAATTTATAAAAAATAAATTTATTTACCTAATATTGTATATTTCCCTCTTCCTTCCTTCTATTTTTCTCTTTCTTTATTTTTTCCGAATCCTCTTTTCTCTTCTATCTCTTTCTTTTCCTTTTCTATGATCCTCCTTTTTCCTTTCTCTATTTCTCTCGATTAATCTCCGTCACTTTCTTTCTTTAATAGGTTACTATATTATATTATTTATATTCAAGAGTTTGCACACAGAATATTTTCAAATCATGGAAACTACTACTTTCAATAAATGCAAAAACATAAAAAAAATAAAGCAAATAAAAAAGTGATTGATTTATGTGTGATATGCCCTATATAAATATATGTATATATATATATATAATATATATATGTATATATTTATATTTATATTTATACACTTATTAAATTTATAAAAAATAAATTTATTTACCTAATATTGTATATTTCCTTCTTCCTTCCTTCTGTTTTTATCTTTCTTTATTTTTTACGAATCCTCTTTTCTCTTCTTTCTCTTTCTTTTTCTTTTCTATGGTCCTCCTTTTTCCTTTCTCTATTTCTCTCGATTAATCTCCGTCACTTTCTTTCTTTCTATTATATACAATATAATTTATAACACATGATAACACATGATCGTTACAATGGTAAGAAATTAAATTAATATTAATATATATTTATATATATATATATATATATTAATATATATTTTTATATGAATATTAATTTAAAAAATTATTATAATTTAAATAGGTTACTATATTATATTTATATTATATTATATTATATTTAATTATACTTGCATTGCTACAATTACCTTACCTTTGTTACAATAGGAAATTGTAATAGAATTGTTCAACGCGCGCTTGTGTTATTTAATTTCTTTCATATTAATTATCAGTATGACAGTTTATCAGTATGACAGTTTGACAGTCATATCGTATAACCAACATACGAGGATACGAGTGAATCAAGTCATAGCGCACGAAATGCTCGAAAACCAACAACCAATCGGCATCACGATAAAAAGGCAACAATACATTCGAGATATTGCGAGAATACATAACATGCACTTTTTAGAAAGGGAAAAATCATATTTTACATGATTGTGTGATAAAAGAATAAATTTATATAAATTAAAATAAAGTAAAAATTGATCAAAAAGATTGATTTGAAATACTTTTTTCTAATCATTAAAAATAAAAATACTATTAGAAATACGAAGTATGCATAAGTCATCGACGAAGTTGTTTCATACTTATCAAATTATAATATTTTGTATCCTTATATTATTATTACTTGTCTTATGTTAATGTTGTGACAAACAACTTATAAAGCGAACAATAGCTTGTTATTATCTTGATAGTATGTGTTATTATAAAGACTAAGTATTATATTTGCTCCGTTTATAACGCACCGATTGTTATCGGGTTGAATCAAGAGACACGGTAGTGTCTCGCGACCAGTTAAGGGCGTAGCCGAGACACCGTGTATCTTAACGCGAGTCGGACATTTGAGTCTATTATAAATTTCGAATCCTCAATAACGGCTGAAGCAATCGAGTTTATACTAGACTTAATCGATAGATTGAGTTCGAATTATATAATAAAAGTGTCTTTATTTCTGCTCTACGTGATTTGTAAGCAGAGATATATAAATGCAAAGTCGAAATATGAAAAATTTCTTTTAAGAAACGTCTCCGTCATCAACGACCACGCAAACATAGTAGTATCGTGCTATACGTATTCACACGTATACAACACATGCGCACACGTACACAACACATGCAATGATGCATGTATTGGAAATGTCCATTTCGCACGTTTTACAACAGACGGCGATAGTATGTCGCTCCATGATCCATGATATCATCATCGACCACGCAAACATAGTAGTATCGTGCTACACGTATTCACACGTATACAACACATGCGCACACATATATCACACGTACACAACACATGAATAGATGCATGTATTGGAAATGTCCATCTCGCACGTTTTACAACAGACGGCGATAGTTGCCCTCCGCTATATTGACAGCGTGCGGGGTTAGATATTTTCAATTTTCAATTTCAATTTTTACATTCAATTTTAATGTTATTATTTGCAAATTTATTGTCATAATAATTTATGTGCAAGTTTACAGTCTGTGATACAAAATCAGATATTTTGCTATTATTTCAATAATATTTCAATTATATAAATGCCTATGTATGAGTATGCATATATTTTTAATAATTTTCTTAATTAGCTTCTATATTTTTTTCAGTTGTACATCAAGCAGGTAGCATTATCAGCTCACTTGTGAGCATGGGTTGGGCAATGGCTAGTTATCATCGCAGCATTCGATTAGCTTAACAAGATAAATCTAATATCAGTGCTATAGGAACTATTTTACAATTTTTCTGGCATTTTCTTATTGCAGGTACATATATATCCAATAATTAATATACAAAATTAAATATTATTCATCACACACTTTGTATCAAAATAATATATTTTTTAAAATTTATTTTAAATTTATTTAATCATTTTTATCATTGTGATTGTAGTGGCAAGGATCTTATTGCTCAGTGTCATTGCAAGCATCTGGCCTGTATATACCATAATATATTGTGTAATACATTGGCTAAGTATGACAATATAGATTTTGATAGATTCCCATGGAATATTGGAATTTT